GGTTGTCATGTGGCCCCAACGTCGTCTATTGTCCCATGCAAGTGCCCATTTTTTCTCTAGGTATCTCATCCAACCAATTAGCTACTTTTATATCACATTGCCTCAAGATGTTGTAATAATATTAGAATCGTGATTTAGCCATCCCATATGCTACAACAATATTAAAAAAACATAGTTAATATAAATATTTATTAGCAACAGTTAAATAATGAATAAATTAAAACAAATTTGAAGCAAAATTACCCATATTTACAACATCTTTCCTTAGTACGGTGTTTTTGAAACGTCTCATAAAATTCTATGCAATGTGTCTAATGCAATAGACATGCACTGAATTATTTTCTATCCATCTTCTTCCAGTTCTCATGTATGCACTTCTAATGGATTCATGTCAGTCTGTAATGAGGCATAATCCTTGCTGGGGTGTGACATATCTTTGGAGGTTTTTTAAGAAAAAAAAAACAGGCATCACTTGTTTCACCTTCAACTACTGCAAACGCAATGGGGAGGATGTTATTGCGGTCATCTTGTGCTACTGCAACCAACAAGGTACCTCTATATTTTCCGTACAGAAAAGTTCTGTCCACTTGAACAATGGGCTTGCAGTGAAAAAATTCATCTATTCATGTCCTAAACGTCCAAAACACACGCTTAAAAATATTTGAATTTTGTTGAAAGACATCACCTTGGTAAGCTGGTTGTGACTGTAGTTTGTAGATGAATCCGGGAACAAATTGTTGCATGGCTTGTAACAAACAAGGCAACTTCTTATACGAATCCTCTCAATTGTCGTAGATGGTCTCCACTACCTTTTGTTTGGCCAGCCACACCTTCCTGTATGTTATAGTGTAACCCGTTGTTAATTGGATGTGGGCTATGATTGTGGAGATTGGTGTTGACGAATCAACATCAATTATTTGACCAATTGTTTGGGAAATCATTTTATATCCCAACTTGTTATGGTCTTGGTTGATTAATGGAGAAACACATGTATGGTGCCCTTCAAGCTTCATAATCTCCCAATATTGCTCTCTTGTGTGCAATATTGCTCGACATCTCCAATTATATTGGCTATCAACACATTTAACAACATATCTACTTTGGTTTGAAATTTTCACGTTGTATGTGCAGTGATTGACAATGTGCAAGTGGTTGATGACATCTTGAACTTGTTCTTTTGTTATGAAATGTTGTCCAAGAAATAGAGTTCCTGCCGAAGAAACAAAAGAATCTCTATCCAACGCATGGCCATACTCTGGGTCTTGTTGTTGAATGTGACTTTCAAAGTTAAGAAAATGTTGTGGTGGGTTGTATGGTTCCATAAAGTTTGGTGCATGTGTAGGGATATGTAGTTGTTCGTCCTTTGAATCATCTTGGTGTTGGCTGAGCATCTTCGTCTTCGTCCTCACTAAAAGGATCAACGACTTCAATTGGGAGGCCAACAATTTCGTTCTCTTGTGTGGGTATTTCTTCGTTGATGTTGGTGGAAGGCGCAATTAGAAGTTGGGTAAAAGGGATGTAGTCATTATGTGTGGGTATTTCTGGGTCAATGTTTGGAAAAGCTTGGTAAGGTGAGGGTGAGATTTCAGGTGAATGTGTGTTGGGGTATGAAGAAAAAGAAGTTTTAAATGTAACAAAAATTTTAATACCACATAGACTTGAGTTTGAATCATGAACATCGAACATGGCCTCCACATCGTCATCATCTTTCAACTCAACAGCAATGAAGTTGTTGATCCCAACTCCGAGTCTAGTTTGGTAGCGAAAATAGATGGTTGCTACATTTTCGTGGGGTTCTTTCTCCAATTTCCTGTAGATCAACTTCTTCAACCTTTGTAGAGAAATTCCTCTCTTTAAAGGAACAAGTTTTGCAGTCCCAGTATTGAAGGTGACTCCCTCCATGGGACATGAGTTCATGGAACCATCACAGTGGATAATAGTAGACACTACACCCATTTTAGGAGTTTGGAACAAAAAGAAGACTAAAGGTAAGAAGAAGAAAAAATGCAGAGCTTCAGAGGTTTAGGAGTGTGCAATGTGAGAACTTCAAAGCATGAAAGTGGTCTATTTATAATGAAGTCCAATGGTTTGAATCCAAGGCTCCCTCA